TACAATGATAAAATATAATTAGCTCTTAACACTATGAAATATGTATAAATTTTTCATAATTTAACCAATAATTCATTTCGGAAACACTTATTTGTGTCAAAATTCAAAACTTTTAGCAACATTTTAACTTTAATCTTCCACAAGACATGTTTAATGCCACAAGATTATACAACATTTTGATACATTTGATATAACTTTGATTTAGAGCCAAAAAATTAAAAGAAAATTTCTTTTTTTAAACTTCATTTCTAGTCAAACTAAATTATTCTTTTTTAAACAAAAAATAATAATATTTCCCTTTGTTTTGAATTTTTTATCTAATTTTAACTTGATAAGAAGTTTGAGAAAATTAGTAAAAAAGTATAAAATATGTTACAGATTTATATTTTTGTAATATTAAATATCTCGGAAAAGAATGGAACATTTTTTTTAAAAATGAACTAAAAAAGAAAACTAACAAAAATAAATTTGAAAAAGCAGGATTAGTAATTAAGTTTTAGTTATCTGAATGACGTGTAATCACAATTTTCGTTGTGCTCTAACTTATTCTGTTTAAATTTATAATTCATTTTACATTATTAAATTACATAATAAAAAAATTGTATTAATTTAATATAAACACTCGACGTGAATAAAAGTTTTTTCCTTCTCCAATTCTTCATATTTTCTTGTTATGGATTTGGGTCTGATGACTCGAATGAATCCATCATGAATTGTGCAGAAAGTAACACTTGAAATTAAAGAATAAAAGATGTTTAGTATGAAATTTTTTCATTATAACGAGAAGAAAATTCATGATCTAGCTCACGAGATTTTACCAATAATAACTTTATTAATTTACACACTGATTACATTCAGATTACAACCTCTCACAATTTAGTAATTAAATCCTTAATTCCTTCTCTTCGTAACAATTTTATTACAAGACAAAACAAAACAATGATTTTAATGGTCTTAATTAACTCTAATTAATATAAACTTCACTCAAATTTAAGCTTAAAGAATTGAAAGCTAACCCAACCTTATTACTTGTGTTTAGTTCGATCTCAAACCCATCAAGTCTAATTCATTTCTATAGAATTTTTAATTGAACTTAATTTAATATCTAATTTCAATTCAATTCAATTCAATTTTAAAATTTAACACGTTTTAAAACTCTTTACTAAGATATGTTTTATATTAAAAGTATGAATTATTATATAGTTAGCATATTTTAGGATTATCTTTCTATTTTATTTTATTTTTAAATAAATCTTGTATCGAAATTCGAATTGTGATTTTAAAAATTAAGTATCACTATGTTAAAACTATTGAGATTAATCGGGTCAAAATTGAGTGCGTCAATTTAGTCAATTTGAAGCCAACTCATTAATGGAGCGCCAAAGTAAGCTTGTGCGGGTCAAGACCTAACTCAGTTTCTATTTTAACTCATTTTAATATCTTTAATTTAATTGAACCCGCCCATTCGACATCCCAACTTGTGTTGAGAGAGTAAAATTTTTTTATTGGTTTTGTGTAGTGTAACGAATGAAATTACATGTCAGTTAGAAAAAAAAAATTTAAAAGATTTTTATTTGAGGTGACAGTTTGTTAAGGTGAGGGGTATATGTTGTTCGTTTAGTTAATAGTAAGGGTATTCAAAATCTAACGAAGAGTATATGTGTTTCATATTCAATAGATTAGAGAAAATTTTAATCTTTTTTAGTTTCGAAAATAAAAAATCAAATAAATAAATCTATAATTATTTTTTTACTTTTGTTAAAAGAATTTGTATATATACGAGTCACTTTTTTTACTTTAATGACATATTTGTGCCACTTTTATAGTAATAAAAAATATATGTGAACTATTTCTATAACAATGAGTATACAAAACTGAGGGGTATATCATGTTCTTTTTTCTTTTACTTAAGGGTTAATTACTTGAGTGAATCCTTTTTAGAAAATAATTACTCATTTTAGATATACTTTTTAATTATTACCATTTATAATAATATGTAACAATACTATATATTTTATTAAATTTTTTCTCTCTCGCCTCTTTTCTTTTTTCTCTCTAAGCTTTTTAATTTTTACTTTTTGTTTTATTTTTTCTTTCTTGTTCACTTTCTCTCTCTTGCTGTAGCTTTTTTTCTTTTATTTCTCATTAATTAATTAATTAGAAAAATAATTTAAGGCATGATAAATTGTAAATAAATTAAATTTAGATTAATAATGTATTACGCACATATTAAAATCAAACTATAAGAGAATTAAGCATGAATGTAAAATGTAGCAAACGAAAGAGTATTTCATGTTTTGTAAACTGAATGAATATGTATCAATAATGAATTTTACAAGTAATTCAATCGTAACAAATTAATAAAAGAATTGCAAAACGAACTAAAATTATATTTAAAAGTGTATTGCACAAATATTAAAATTGCATTGGAAGAGAGAATTAAGCATGAATAAAAACATAACTAATGAATAACCAAACAATTATTCATAGAGTAAATTAAATTTGTATCAATAATGACTTAAACAAATAAATTCAATAGTAACAAATAAATCAAAAAATTGCAAAATGAATTAAATTGCTTTAAAATTGTATTAGACAATTTTAAACTTGTATTAGAAGAGAGAATTAAGAATGAATGAAAAACGTAACTAATGAAAGACAAGACAACGATCTATAAATTGAATTAAACTCATATGGTTCATGAATAAAACTTATATCATATATATCTGATAAATTATATTTGCTTTTATCATTGACAAAATGTGTGATAGTTGCAATATGTTTCAAAAATATATTGTCCATTGCTTGTAAATGTATTATAGTGTGTTACATAAATTATTCTTGTTGGTATCCGTAAGAAATGAGTGAAATATACAATATGTACTATAAATGTATTATTCATAAATAAAACATGTATTACATGTGTCTTATAAATTATTTTGATTTGTATCATTAAAAATGTGGCGATGTTTGCAATATGTATTAAAAATGTATTGTGTATGTATTACAAATGTGCATGAATAAACTTACTAAAGGTGCATTATACAAATATTAAAGTTTAATTGGAAAAAAAATATAACTAATGAAACACTAGATAGAATGAATTAAACTCATATAAATAATGAATTAGACAAGTAATATAATAGTAACAAATAATAAACTACAAAATGAATTAAATTTGCATTAAAGGTATATTATACAATATTAAAATTGAATTAGAAGAGAAAATTAACAATAAATGAAAAACGTAACTAATGAAAGACTAGAGAACAATATTAAATTAAACTTGTATTATTTATGAATAAATATGCATTACATATGTCTTATATATTATTTTGGTTTGTATCACTAAGAACCTAGGTGATGTTTGCAATATGTATTACAAATGTATTGTGCATATGTCATAAATGTATTACAAATGTGTTACTTAAATTATTTTTCTTGATATCACTAAAAAAAGAGTGAAGTTCGTAATATATCGTGATTTTAATACAATTTTAATACAATTATGAAAAATATTTAATACAACTTTAATACAATCGCGATACAGTTCCATAAATATTGCGTTTTTCAAGTTTCAATCTAATTTTTCTCCTAACGATATTTTTTTAATTATTTATGTGAACAATCTATCCAAACTAATCACAAATTCGTAAAATTCAAATAGTGAATTCAAAATTTGAAGTATTATAGTGACCATCAATTAAAAATGAACTCTTATTACTATAATTTTAAAGATTTGAAAATTCTATTGAGAACATGATTATGTACAAATATTTAATTTTTACTATTCCTCTTCTCTTCATGTTTTTGAGTAAAAATAATAAAATATGAGGAAAATATTATTTAAATAAAATTATTTAAATGGAGATCTCAACGAAGAAGAATAATAAAATAAAATAAAATCAAATAGGGAGAAGATAATTAATGAGAGAGAAAGAGACAGAGAATAAAAAGAACAAAAAGAAAGGGAGGACGAAGAGAAAAAAAGGCCGAGAAAAAGGCGGTACAGTTTCTTATTTTTAAAAAAATATTTTTAGGAAAATTATATTGCTATAGATGGTAAATATTTTTATAATATAGCATATATATGTGATTTACCCTTTACTTAATATACTAATGTAATTTTTTTTAAATTTTTGTTAATTTCCTTTTTGGGATTCAAATATTGTATTATGAATATTATATTGACATGTTCCAAATTGGATAGTTTTCCTTGACTTTTTATGTAATTTTGTATTTCAATTGTTCTTGTATTATGCGATAATTACATTATATTGTATGTATACAGTTTATATATTTGGTATACTAAATGTATAGCAATATTTTTGAAATTATTGCATAATGATATATTATTGAAATTATCACTTTTTATGTTTGTCTGCAGGATTCAATTTTCCACTCTTAGGAGATTTATTTCCTTTTTATTGTGTTTTCCTTAATTAATTATAATTAAATAAATAATAGTACTTGAACCATTAAAAACCAAACAATGATACTAAAAAAAGGAAAAGTCAAATTATTTTTTAATAATGAATTACTTTTTCCAAATTTATAAGATTCTGAATCGTTTCAATAATTATTTTTGCCTTTTTTCTTATAATTAATGATATTATAAATAGGGTAAATTAGAGTGAACAAAGTTAAATCAATTTTCACTATGGATGCAAAACGCCAAAAATGTATCCTCTCACTTTCTTCACTTTTGATTTTATATTAAAATTCTCTAATTTTGCATTATTATTATTATTATTATTATTATTATTATTATTATTATTATATGATGTCTTAAAAATTATAGTTGGCTTTGATATATGCTTATTATGTTGTGTTTTATCTTCATAGGTTTTGTACGTCTAAGGTCAACAAGTCCATCGATACAAATTATCATTCAAGATGACACTCGAAATATTATTCAGCGGTATTCATTATCAAAATGTTTTTTACCCGCTCAAGACAACTTGGATGGTACTAAAGAATATCAAGACCGTTTTACCTTAATGGTTGATCCAGGATATTCAATAGCGATAGTTAAAGCATGCATTCAAGAGAAAAAACGTATTGCTTTTAAAAAACAAAGGCTTTTGAGCAAGGATGGTAAAGATTTGAGTGATGTGCAAACTCTATTTGCATTAGGAATCAAAAATGGTTCTACGTTAATTTTGCGATACGCATCGATAACACAAATATCTATGAAAATGCTTATGTTGTTCTCTATGGTCAAAGATCCATGGTCAATGAGTCGAACAATGCAAATTATCATTCATGATGATACTTACAAAGACGCGATTGGATCTAATGACATTATAGATGGTATCACTAAGGATTGTCGTATTTCTTATACTTTAATGGTTGCGCCAGATGATATTATTATTGCAGTTAAAGCCTACATTCAAGAGCAAACTGGATTTTCTTTTAAGAATCAGAAGCTTTTGTATGAGGGTGCAGTTTTAAGAAACCCTCAAACTCTCGTTTCACTAGGAATAAAGAAAGAATCTACCTTAGTCCTTCGATATGAACCAATATCGAGCAACAAAATTAAGAGTTCTATATTTACTATTAAGGTTCAGCGTAACGACACAATTGGAGATCTTAAAGCTTTCTTTCAAGAAAAGACCGGGATTCGATTTCATACACTGAGACCAACCTATCGTGGACAAATATTAGACAATGATAAGCGTCTTGTTGACCTAGATAATTAATTTCTATTATATTGTTCTTAATATTATCTTAAGCTTGAATTATATTTAATCTTAGTACTTCTAAGATGTTTTTTCTTATTTCAGACTTTGTATTTTTTTTTCTATTGTTTTATTTGTTTGACAATTTTTGTCCATCGAGATTTGTTAGTACTTATTTCTATATTTATTTTAAGTAATCAATCAATCAGATGTTTCTTTTTTATTGTTCCGTTGATCGTGTGGTATTTGAATTTAAATTTAATTAGATAAGAATATGCACATAATTTCTATTGTCATATGATCTAATTTTTTATCATATATACATATATGATATAGTAATAACAATATTGACCAAAAAAGAAAAAAAAAGAGTTGATTAAAACTTTATTTTGGCCTAAATATGTTTAATGTGGTTATTTACTGTAATATGTACAGATGAAATGGATTAGCATGTTGAAGGCCCATCAAATTGGGCTGGACTTTGAATTCAACGGCTGACACAAACCAGCCCATTACAATAGCCCATTAAGAACTACTTACTACGTTATAAACGAACTTTTTTTCAAATTACAAAAATTTCTTAAATTTAGTAGATTCCGGATATATCGCGTCTTGATTTTGTACATATCCCTCAACATTTCGATATATTATATCTCGATTTAAGAGATATCACTCAACGTCTCGATACATGGCGTAAAGTGATCTATCCGACCTATACATGATGTAAAGTGATCTAGCCGATCGATACGTGATGTAGAGTAATGTATCCGATAATGAGAGAAAGCAAGGATAGTTATAATTTATTCAAACGACAGATTTTTAGAGAATATGATAAAATAAATTATGTATAAATAATTTTTTTAAAAATAGATGTTGATTTTTTAAAGAGTAATTTAACCAGTAATTCACTTTGAAAACACTTAATCGTTAGTAAAAAAAAAAAGAAGTAACCTAAATGATCTCTCACCAACAATGCATTAAACATATAATATTTTGTATTATTCATATTATAATGAGTATTTTACCATCAATAATCAATATATACAAGCTAAGAAAAGTAGATATTAATAACTTGGATGATTTTATCTATTGTATTTTACTATTTTATTAGTTTAAGTTTTATGTTCTTTACTTAAATTTTAATGTATCGTATTATTAGATAATGTCAAAAAGTCTCATTTTATATAAAGATTGATTTTAGTATGATCATATATTATTTTTTCTTTCTTCATTTTATCTTTCACTATACTTTTTTATGGTTACTCTATTCGTATTCTACTTTTTCTTGTAAGTTTATTCTTCAGATTAATTATGTGTGATATTATATAACAATATAAAACGATATAATCGGTCCTAAAATTATATTCATCAAATAAATATTGTACGGTACAATACATTATTTCAAAACATAAAGTAATAAATATCAAGACAAAGTGTAACTAATTCCACGTCGGAAATCTGAATCACTAAAAAATATGATGAACTATAGCACACGAAAATCGGGAAAGTAGAAGGTATTTCTGCTCCGGTGCTCGTTTGACCTTGAAAATGGATCGTTCTGACTGTCAGGGACAAGCGGTGATAGATTAAGTAGGTAAACACGCGGATTGTACCGATTGAATTCAATTGAGTGACGATTACTCCATTTCTTAAGAGAGAACGTGCGGAAAAAAGGTTGGACTGATGTGTCACATACGAAACATTAAGAACCAAAGTGTACACTTTCCTCTTAAACCCAAAATCCTCCATTGATGTAAACATTTCAAGATTCTTTGAGAGAGAAATCGAAGAACAGTGGCATAAGGAAGTTGAAGAATCCAAAGTTAAAGCAAAAAGATGAAGAATTTACCGGTGTTTTTGATGGGTTGTGGAGGAGTTGGCCGTCAATTGCTTCAACATATTGTTTCTTGTCGATCTCTTCATGCCAAGCAGGTAATGAAAAGTGCTGTTCTTTTTACCAATTTGTGGAAATCATTATCAGATTGGATTGTTTTAGTGTTTATTTTTGTTGGGTTTTTGTGGGTAATGCTTAAAACTTACAGGGGGTGCATTTGCGAGTTGTGGGTGTGTGTGATAGCAAATATCTGGTGGTTGTAGCTGATGTTCTCACTGCAGAATTGGATGATTCATTTCTTCTTGAAGTTTGTCGTGTCAAATCCAATGGCTCTTCATTGCAGACTCTTGTAAATTCTGGTAGCAGTTCACCCTTTTTTTTTGGTTTTGTTGTTAAAAGTCATTTAGTGTGGTTAGTTTACCTGTTGTATTGCAGTACTTAATAATCACCCTTAAACAAGCTGCTAAGTTATTTGGTGTGCTTATTTGTAGAATGACAAAAAGGTGAAATCTTTTTTTTTGTTGTAACATGTAGGTGTATGCCAAGTGTTTTCTGGTCCAGAAGTTATACAAAAAGTAGTTGATATTGGACGTCTTGGCAAATCAACAGGTTTGTGTCATGTCCAAGATGTTTATTTTGGGATTGTTGGGGTTGTTAGGCTTGTTATGGAAAGCCTATACCTGCTTATATTATCATCTATTCTTTACTGGTGGAGGACTAATCTACTTGAGAAGTTTAATTAGTAACAATGAGTAGCTGTTAACTTTGTGCCGTATGGTTAATGCTTTGTATTAGCTCCTCTTTAATATTCTCCATACCTTTTAAATGCTTTGCCGAGTATAGTACAGTAGTTGACTTCAGCTGCTGCATGATATTGGACTTTGCTTATTTACTTTGACTGTTTAGTCCAATCTAGGCTCAAATGTATGAAGTGCAGTGAGTAAATTACCTTTGTTTTTGCATTGCGGCGGAGTTGTTAGTCTATTTTGCTGTATGGAAGGAAATCTTTGTTTATCGGGAGGGAGTGAGTTCAAAATACATCTTATTCTTGCTTATACATCTCTTGCACTTGCTTAAATTCTTTGTATGTGAAGGCATAAGATAATGCAGGTATCAATGTGTTAGCTTTTGGGGAGTTGTTTCACAGTCAGATTCCTTTTGATTGAAATTCAAACTGTGGCAGGTTTAGCATTTGTTGATTGTTCAGCTAGTGCTGAGACTATTGGAGTGCTAAACCAGGTTGTAGATTTTGGTTGTTGTGTGGTGCTGGCTAACAAGAAGCCTCTTACTGTGCCAATGGTAACTGATCCTTTTTATTGTCGTTGATTTCTATGAATGTGTAGCTTAAAATCAGGTAGTTGTTGTAGCATAAGATCAGTGTTCTAGACATGGTTCAACCATTGAATATGCCACTAGCAGTAGAAGAATAAAATGTAGCAGACAGTGTCCATGGTTTTCATTTTCTTTTAGCAACCATATGCATGCTTACGTTCAGAAATGCAGTTAATGATCCATTCAACCGTGTTTAATCCTGAAAACTAACAAAAGATGCTAAACGAGACAAGAACAGAAAGTGAGTCAAATGCTATAACAAATATAAAGTTCTCTGAAGATATATTTAAGTGAACACATGTGATCTATCTAATAGTTTAAACTTCCGCATAAAAAAAATCTAATAGTTTAAACTTTTGAATGAGGTGACTACCTAATTATATATGGTAGCAGAGAAGGCAGAGGTTCGGGTTTAGGTTCACCATCACCCTTCATTAGAATGATAAAAAAGTTCCATGTGCTTGACCAATTGGCCCATAGAAAAGAATCAGTTCCACACGCGAGCGAGTTAAATAAACAAAGGTGCACTCAACTTAATTTTTTGGATGAGATGATCCCACTATTCAACAGAGTTAAAGTCAACGTCAGTTTCAATTGCTTCCCTTGATTGTCGCTTGCTTACTTATTATGTTTGCTATGGTCACTGCATAACTTGAAAACATTCAGAATTACAGGTCAATCACCTTTCAATCCTTGTCACCTTTCATCCTTCTAATCTGTAAAAGGGTTTCCTCTCAAATGGCAACTATTATGTTTAGTGTATTGATTATTTTATCCTTATTTGCAGGAGGATTATGATAAGTTGGTGTCACAGCCCCGTCGCCTTAGACATGAGTCAACTGTATGTTCTCTTGTTTCTATTGCGTGTAAAAATCTTTTGTGCACTGAAATGTTGGAGACAAAGGAGATTTTAGAGTGTCATGTTATGGGGTTATACTAGTGTATGGGTCTCTAGGTAGATAAAATTGAATTGTGTTTGATCGAGTAAGACCAGAAAGCTGGCTGAAACCTTGGTTCTCCTGTCTTTTTATATGAACATTTTGCAGTGCTGACCAGTTCCGTTTTGTAGCTTCTTCTCTTGTCAATCTAAACACAAGTATATCCAGTCCCTTTATCACCAAGGGGTGTGGTAGGATGGTTGGAGTCCCTCCATCCTACTCTCTCCAACTTTGAAAGTTCCAATTTTTCTGTGTCAGATTTCCTCCCACTGTTCGCTGAAAGAAGGATGTAATTAGACATCTATCGACTATCTGTAAGTTTACATTTGAAGATAGAAAGATTAACTGATCATATGGATAGTGATGCGTATCATTTGGTTTATCTGATATCTAGAGCACTAGCTGATTAAAAAATAGCTTCACTTGTATTTGAGATTCTTAAATGTCTCATACACGTTAAACCTTCCTCTTCTGCTTCAAAAGCTTTTCTTGTTTGACTTCCCAAACTATGATATGGGATTTATAGCGCATTGTGTTTGTTTAAGCTATTCATTTATCTTCTGTGGTATACGAAGGATAGTGTTGTCCTAGTTCAGTTTATACTCGGGCTTAGCAAAGTTGTCTGAAATTGCTATATGTGTGGTAGGTTGGTGCTGGCCTTCCTGTCATAGCATCCTTAAATCGCATAATTTCATCAGGAGACCCTGTCTACCGTATTATTGGGAGTTTGAGTGGTAATATGCAACCGCAAATGATTATCCTTAGTATCTTGCTTGTTATAAACATTAAGAGCATTTGATGGTAAGATGCGATATATCTTGGTATCTAACAGGTACCCTGGGGTATGTAATGAGTGAGGTTGAGGATGGAAAGCCATTAAGCCAAGTCGTTAATGCTGCTAAAAGCCTTGGTTACACTGAACCAGGTGATAAGTTACAGCCACCCTATTAATGTTGTAAAATCACCATATGAGTATTGAATATATGACTTACAAAAACAGAAGTGGTTGTTGAAAATATGATAATTATCTATTCTTAAATAAGTGCAGTCTTACTTATTGTTTATATGTTCCTCTGTCTGAGTAATTCTACTCGTTTTCTTGTCAGGCAAGTGTTCCTCTTGTACAACAATATTTCCTGGCCTTCTGCTTAGGAAGTTTGTCTAGCACTAATTCGAATGTGAGAGAAATCAGAGAAATTTGAGAAGCGATTAAGAGAATGTGTGATACAAATGTCTTACACGTGAATTCTGCTTTTATACGCTCTTTTTACAGTGCATATTCTTACATCTACCCAATGTGGTGAACATGCACATACAACTCTATTTTACACTTATCTCTTGTTATTTACATTTAGCTATCTGATTCTCCCCTCTAGCTGGTGCATACATGTAAACCTGTATAGGATTTGGTGAATATGTCTATAAGCTGATCAGTTGACTTTCCAAACTTTATAACAGTGTTGTGAAAACTTTTTTTTTTTTGGGAAGGGACAGTCGGTTTCTATATGGTTGGTCCTCTTGACAGATGCTGCATAAAATGGGATACAAGTATAACTTGATTAGCACTCAAGTTTTATTATGATCAATTTCAATTGTGTTATAGAAAAATCTATATCGGGTTTAACTAAGCCTAAAAGTTACCTCATGAGATGAGGATTGCCAAAGACCACATAAAGAGATTACAACAATACATCCTCAACTGAAGTGAGACTAACATCTTATTGCTTGCACAGAGCGGAACATATGGAGTATGTATGAAATAACATAGGGGCTAAACATTGGGTAATTGAACATTAGGGATGAGCTTAAGTGAGATATCATTAAGTAAATGGACTTTGTTCCTAACCCAGTCCAAAAAGCTAATCCAAGATCATATAAGGGTGCCTTTAATCAATGTGGTAAACTAACAGCAACGCTTTTCAATCCTTTTGGTGGTTAATCTATGTGCTCATCGTTACCATAGTCATAATAAAAAATTCTCTTTTTTCTATATTGCCCAATTGCCTGAAATTATTATAGTATTTAGAAGTAGAACGTATATAAAGAAGGTATCAGTGTCCATTTTGCATCGTGATTGTCTTTGATTTTTGTTGATAATCCTTTCCAAGAGCAGGCTTCCTACCTCAAACGATGCAAATCATTGCATCCTAGTGAATACGACATGGCGAATACGAAAATTGATTCATAATAACAGTTGGAAAGGCACCATCAGGTCTAGTCACCTATAAGATAGTGTAAAAGTAAAACTAACCTTCTATATCTCTCTCTTGAGATTACTAAGAAGCTTTAAGAGGGTCCTCCTAACCTAGTGGAGGTTTACCATATAAATTCAAAGAAGTATCAATAAGTTCACAATCCATCATACATTTCTTCTAAGTACATAAGATGTTGTTTGTGGCAAATAAACTTTTTAAGGAGAGTGCTTTATCCAAGGAGATCGTAATTCTGTTTTCAGCAGGATTATATGAGAAATTTGTTGCCATCCAAAACTTCTAAGGAAATTCTAGATCCTTTTCTAATAAAGAAATAACAATGTCTTCAATGCATTGTGAAGATGCAGTCTACTTTCTAGCAGCAATTAACAGTAATTGTACATCCATCCCAAATATCATTATGGAAGAAAAAAATCGCTGACACTACACTTCATCTCAATTCTCATTAGGATAGTTGAAGTATGAAGTTATTCTTATGTATTTATACTTATTTGCAGATCCTCGGGATGATCTAGGTGGTATGGATGTAGCAAGAAAGGTTAGGAAACATCTTTCTTCTGATTAAACTTACAGAGTGTCCAAGATTTCAATCCGTTTATATTGCCAATTTCTTATGCTGATTAAAGCATTATCTTTCTTTCTTATCTGAACTTACCTGTAGTCTTACAGTATGCATAATTAAGGCATAATGTTTCATCTGCTATATACTCACACTCACTATAGAAAGTGTTTTCAGGAAGTATATTTTTTCTGTGATATTCTTATGGTGAATGTTGTCCATTTATGAGTATGGCAATTTTAGCTGAATGGATGTCTTTATTAATTTTTCCTTATTTGGTGCTTGGGATGATGGTGCCTTTGGGGAGCAGAAAAGCAGTGATTTAGGCAGAATCATTTTCGCATATCTTATCAAACTTGATATAGTTAATAATTGGTTTCTCGGTACTTTTCACGAAAAGTTCATAGTTCTAATTGGTTCTATAAATTTTTAGAAGTTGAATATCCATCATGACAACATTTTGTTTTCATGTCTTCGTAACAGGCTCTCATTATTGCTCGGCTCCTTGGACGGCGTTTAAACCTAGATAATATGAAGGTTAGGATACATGTCACCATCTCTCTTTGTTTTGTTACTAATTTAATCATCTTCAGAAACCTTGATGCATTTGCAATTCCCTTTTCAGATTGAAAGCTTGTATCCTGAAGAAATGGGACCAGATGTGATGCCTCTGGAAGACTTTCTAGTGAATGGCCTTCCCTTACTTGATCAGAAAATTGAAGATAGGATTAAACAAGCTTCTGCAAATGGGAATGTTCTGCGCTATGTTTGCTTGATTGACGAGGCGAGGTAATTCTTTCATTTCATTTTTAGTTTGCTCAATGGATAACGGTAACTGGATCTTTTATTCTTATCACGTTCTGCAAGTCACCATACCTCTAGATGCTTAAAGCAAAGCTTGCTCACTGATGGGAAGTGTTATGGCAAGTTAAGGTACTGATGACTGTTGAGCATAACAATTACTACTAATCAAGACAAGTTTATCTTAGAAGATGGTCTCAATTCCTCTTAACAAATGCTTTAGAAAATTATGACAGCTATCTGCAAACCAGTTGTAAGTTCATCTTTTTTATGTTAGTCATCTGATCAGCTCTTCACCACTTGTATCCGTAACCAATTAAAGAACGAGTTAGAAGTATGAATCTGTAATGGCATAGACGGGGAAAAATTGATTATTGAAAACACTTCTGCGTACATGACATTAACATCTAACATTTTCAGATGTGAAGTTGGCATCCAAGAAGTTCCAAAAGATTCTGCATTGGGAAGATTAAGAGGAAGTGATAATGTGGTATGCATTGTTCATTTGCTGTTTCTTTGGTTCCTCTTCTTCTTGTTCCATTACTTTGTTTTCCGTTGGGATTTTTCTTTTAACTGCTATGGAGGTTCAACCCTATCATACGCGTCATCTAGTGTCGCCCTGCAAGCAAACAGTAAAATCAATGATGATTGAACGTCTGCAATTCGTTTGTCTGCAGGTGGAAATATACAGCCGTTGTTACGAGAAACAACCTTTGGTTATCCAAGGTGCTGGAGCAGGAAATGATACCACAGCAGCTGGTGTCCTAGCTGATATCCTTGACATTCAAGATTTATTCCCATGACCGAGTATTATACACTGAGATACAAACATGATGAAAAATCGACTCTTCTTGTCCCTCTGCTTCCAGATTGGAGATTGAAATCAGGCAAAGAAAGCTCACACATTTTTTGAAAAATTTCTCGATACACATGAGAGTGCCTCTCGTCAGTTTACAGTAGATCATTACGCAAAGTTTCTACCTGAGTTGTACTCATATCGACAGATTGCATCAATTTACTTCCAGATTCTTGCTTTTTAACCATTCTAGTAGTCTGGAACCACCTTGCACCAAAGTTAAGTTACCTTAATCTAAAGGAAAATCGTCAGTGATTTCTGCAGCAAGTTTAACACTAGTAGGTTCACCGTCAACTATCAATACTGCTTTTATCTTTTCATTCTCTGCAACAACAAGAACCTTGCAACATTTTGACTACTAGTACATCTCAACATTCATCACAAGACAATTGACTGAATCCCGTGAAAACTTGCTCTAAGTACATCAAAAGCAGCCAGGCCTCACGCCATTTTGACTTGTACTATACAACCTGACAGGACAATCGCAAAAGAAAATATGTAATCACTAGTACATCTCGACATACAACATATTCAATGTAATTTCACAAGTGATATTTTGGAAAGATAGGATATACACAAACTAAAATTATATATATATAGAGAGAGTGTTTTTAGAGTTGCACCCTTGTGCTTGATAAAATACAGAATCTTATGTATAAAAAATTACAACAGGTCATTTCTATATCATTTAACATCTAATAAAGCATCTTGTCTCAGTTGGTGAAAGTTTATTTCCAATAAAAATATGTCAATTTGGTGGTATATATGTGAGTCCCCACCAAACACCAAACTATATGGTGGTATGCATCTATTGATTTATCGTAAATAAAAAATACATCTGAGTTTGCTTGGTAATAATTTATTATGACGTGTTTTAGTTTGCATTATCAAGAAGACTTTATTACAATTTTCAATAATTCAAGCTCGAAAACTCTAATCTTATATATAACAAAACAACTACAAGAGAAAATTGCCATAGCTCTTTGGTGTAATCAAATTCCCAACTTGTTGACGTGTTCTCAAGTATAAAATAAAAGAAAAATTGGGTGTGAGAAGAAATGAAAATAAAACATTATGAAGACAAAGTGGTGTTGTTGGGTAAAAGGTGATACTTTTGATTTTATTTTTTTTAAAAGGGGGACTCTTTTTTTATTCTATGGCTGTCCCCATCCCCTACCCACCCACTCAAAATTATTCTATTTAGATAAAAGACTCTTCTTGTTGTATGAAAAAATCATACTCATGGAAAAGAGGAGGAAAAAAAGGATAATTTAATTTATCTTTTTAGGCCCTCCAACTTTGATATTAACGAGTTAAACTCTTGAGTTTGTATAAAGTTGAATAATTAGACATATAAATCGTACGTGACATAAAATTAGATGAGGGTGTATTGTTATATACATTACGTTATAATAGAAACAGTTGAGGATTGCACAACAACTTGTGATCATCGGATGCGAGAAGCTGGTAAATGGCCGAAATAAAACAACAACATACCAAGTATAACCCAACAAGTGGGATGTGTATGTAAACCTTATCACTACCTTATGGGGTAGAAGGTTGTTTCCGATAGAACTTCAGCTCAAGTAAACATAGAAAAAAACAATACCTTAAAGAAAAGGAAAATGGAACAGATTTCAAACTCTTCACTATTCTAAAATGTATTGATGATATGGTAGGCCCAATTAAGCACTACAATGAGCTGTTGAAAAATGGACAAGTGCATAAAGCAAAAGTAATTGAATAATTGCCTCAATTATTCTATTCAAGTCTATACATTTTGAGAAGAGAAAAGAGGACTGTTTTGATTAGCTGAAAAATAGCTGTACTAATTTCAAGCAATCACTAATCATTCTTGTTTGCAAATTACTCTCAACATTCAACAGGTAAAGTAAAGTACTATCTTTGTAGTTGAAGATAGAAAAATTTATCTTCTCAAAATCATTTTGTGTTTCCTTGCAGATTTGAGAAATGGAGATTGGGTTAGCAGTTGGTGGTGCATTTCTCTCCTCAGCTTTGAATGTTCTGTTTGATAGGCTTGCTCCTAACGGTGATCTGCTCAACATGTTTCGGAAGCATCAGGATCATGTTAAGCTCTTAAAGAAGCTGGAGGACATTTTGCTTGGTCTTCAGATTGTGCTAAGTGATGCAGAGAATAAGCAAGCATCAAATCGACATGTGAGCCAATGGTTTAATAAGCTTCAGAGTGCTGTGGAAGGCGCTGAAAACTTGATAGAAGAATTCAATTATGAAGCTTTGAGACTTAAGGTGGAAGGCCAGCATCAAAATCTTGCAGAAACAAGCAATCAACAAGTAAGTGACCTTAACCTGTGCTTGAGTGATGATTTCTTTCTTAACATAAAGGAAAAGTTGGAAGAAACCATTGAAACATTGGAGGTGTTGGAAAAGCAAATTGGTCGCCTTGGCTTAAAGGAGCATTTTATTTCGACCAAACAAGATACTAGAACACCTTCAACTTCTTTGCTTGATGATTCTGGTGTCTTTGGAAGGCAGAATGAAATAGAGAATTTGATTGGCCGTTTGTTTTCTATGGATACAAAGGGAAAAAATCTGGCTGTAGTTCCTATTGTCGGAATGGGCGGCTTGGGTAAGACAACACTTGCTAAAGCCGCTTACAATGATGAGAGAGTGCAGAAACATTTTGTTTTGAAAGCTTGGTTTTGTGTTTCTGAGGTATATGATGCTTTCACAATAACAAAAGGTTTACTTCAAGAAATTGGATCATTTGACTTGAAGGTTGATCACAATCTTAATCAGCTACAAGTCAAATTGAAGGAAAAGCTGAATGGAAAAAGGTTTCTTGTTGTCCTTGATGACGTGTGGAATGACAATTACAACGAGTGGGATGACTTGAGAAATATTTTTGTACAAGGAGATATAGGAAGTAAGATCATTGTGACAACACGCAAAGACAGTGTTGCCTTGATGATGGGAAATGAGCAAATTAGCATGGGCAATTTGTCTACCGAAGCCTCTTGGTCTTTATTTCAAAGACATGCATTTGAAAACATGGATCCTATGGGACATCCGGAACTTGAAGAGGTTGGAAGACAAATTGCAGCTAAGTGCAAAGGACTGCCCTTAGCTCTGAAGACGCTCGCTGGCATGTTACGCTCCAAATCAGAGGTTGAAGAGTGGAAATGTATTCTGAGAAGTGAAATATGGGAGCTGCAAGACAATGACATATTACCAGCGTTAATGTTGAGCTACAATGATCTTCCCGCACATTTAAAGCGATGCTTTTCTTTTTGTGCAATATTTCCTAAAGATTATCCATTTAGGAAAGAACAAGTTATTCATCTCTGGATTGCCAATGGTCTTGTACCTGTGGAAGATGAAATAATTCAAGATTTAGGCAACCAATTCTTTTTCGAGTTGAGTTCAAGATCATTATTTGAAAGGGTCCCAAATCCTTCTGAAGGAAACATAAAGGAATTATTCCTAATGCATGACCTTGTCAACGATTTAGCCCAACTTGCATCTTCAAAACTTTGTATCAGGTTGGAAGAGAGCCAAGGATCTCATATGTTGGAACAATGTCGGCACTTATCTTATTCAATAGGAGTTAATGGTGAGTTTGAGAAATTGGCACCCCTCTACAAATTGGAGCAGCTGAGGACATTGCTTCCGACATGTATTAGTGTCAATTATTGTTATCACCCTCTAACCAAGAGGGTGTTGCATAACATACTGCCTACACTAAGATCCTTAAGGGCATTATCATTGTCAGGTTATGGGATGAAGGAGTTGCCAAATGACTTGTTTATCAAATTAAAGCTCCTCAGATTTTTAGATATTTCTCGGACAGAGATTAAAAGGTTGCCAGATTCCATTTGTGTGTTGTATAACTTAGAGACACTTCTCCTGTCATCTTGTGGTACTCTTGAGGAGCTACCGCTGCAGATGGAGAAGTTGATTAACTTGCGTCATCTTGACATAAGCAACACTCGGCGCTTGAAGATGCCACTACATCTGAGCAGGTTGAAAAGCCTCCAAGTGTTGGTGGGAGCCAAGTTTTTTGTAGGTGGTTGGAGAATGGAAGATTTGGGTGAAGCACAAAACTTATATGGATCTCTATCAGTTGTGAAGTTGGAAAATGTGGTTGATAGAAGGGAAGCTGTGAAGGCAAAGATGAGGGAGAAGAATCATGTTGAGCAATTATTATTGGAGTGGAGTGAAAGTAGTATTGCCGACAATTCACAAACAGAAAGAGACATACTTGATGAGCTACGCCCACATAAAAACATTAAAGAAGTCAAAATCAGTGGATATAGAGGGACAAACTTTCCCAATTGGGTAGCTGATCCTTCGTTTGTTAAGCTGGTGAATTTGTCTCTTAGAAACTGCAAGAACTGTTATTCCTTGCCAGCACTAGGACAACTCCCTTGTTTGAAATTCCTTTCCGTTAAAGGGATGCATGGGATAAGAGTGGTGACGGAAGAATTCTATGGTAGTTTGTCCTCCGAAAAGCCTTTTAATTCTCTTGTGGAGCTTGAATTTGAAGATATGGCGGAGTGGAAGCAATGGCACGCACTAGGAATTGGAGAGTTCCCTACACTTGAGAAACTTTTAATAGAAAATTGTCCTGATCTCAGTTTGGAGACACCGATCCAACTTTCAAGTTTAAAAAGGTTTGGGGTTGTTGGTTGTCCAGTTGTTTTTGATGATGCTCAACTGTTAAGATCCCAACTTGAGGGAATGAAGCAGATTGTGGAATTAGATATACGTGATTGTAAGTCTGTTACCTCCTTTCCTTTTAGCATACTGCCAACTACCTTGAAGACAATACAGATATCTCGTTGCCCAAAATTGAAATTGGAGGCTCCAGTTGGTGAGATGTTTGTGGAGTATTTGAGTGTGAATGATTGTGGTTGTGTAGAAGATATATCACCTGAGTTTCTCCCAACAGCACGTAAATTGATTATTACGGATTGCCAGAACGTTACTAGGATTTTGATTCCTACTGCCACTGAAACTCTCACTATTGAGAATTGTGAGAATGTTGAAAAACTATCGGTGGCATGTGGAGGAGCGGCCCAGATGACGTCTCTGATTATTTCGGAGTGTAAGAAGCTCAAGTGTCTTCCAGAACGTATGCAGGAACTCCTTCCATCTCTCAAGGAACTGCGTCTGTCTGATTGTCCAGAAATAGAAGGAGAATTGCCCTTCAATTTACAAAAACTCTATATCAGTTATTGCAAGAAATTGGTGAATGGCCGAAAGGAGTGGCATTTACAGAGACTCACAGAGTTATGGATCCATCATGATGGGAGTGACGAAGATATTGAACATTGGGAGTTGCCTTCCTCTATTCAGAGTCTTACCATATGCAATCTGATAACATTAAGCAGCCAACATCTCAAAAGCCTCACCTCTCTTCAATATCTATGTTTTGATGGTAATTTATCTCAGATTCAGTCACAAGGCCAGCTTTCCTCCTTTTCTCACCTCACTTCGCTTCAAACTCTACAAATCCGTAATCTCCAATCACTTGCTGCATTAGCACTGCCCTCCTCCCTCTCTCACCTGACCATCCTCAATTTCCCTAATCTCCAATCACTTTCAGAATCAGCACTGCCCTCCTCCCTCTCTCACCTGATCATAGATGATTGCCCTAATCTCCAATCACTTTCAGAATCAGCACTGCCCTCCTCCCTCTCTCACCTGGACATCTCCAATTGCCCTAATCTCCAATCACTTTCAGAATCAGCACTGCCCTCCTCCCTCTCTAGCCTGACCATCTATGATTGCCCTAATCTCCAATCACTTCCAGTAAAAGGGATGCCGTCTTCCCTCTCTGAACTAGCAATTTCCAAATGTCCATTGCTCAAACCACTACTAGAATTTGGAAAGGGGGAATACTGGCCAAATATTGCTCATATCCCCTCCATATACATCGATTGGGAACGCATGTAATGATTAAAACGAATGGCTCCCCAACTGATGTAAGCTATTCGTTTCCCTCATAAGCTTTTTATTTCATTTTGCTTTTTTGTTAATTCTTTTCATTTTTAATCATGCCGTGCTAGCTCATCATCAAACACATCACATTATATTTAACCTCCATAGAAAATCTAAATTTTTGAAAGGATAACGATCACAAGTTTTAGGAAATAAGTGCAACTTCCATTGTCACATGTTATATAATTCTATTTCTCATTGCTTATTGGTTTATGCTCTTACCGTGTTTTAATTCACGTCTCCATCGCCACCATGTTTAATCGAAAGTTTTAGTTCTTGTAATCATAAACCATCCTATGTCACTAGAAATTTTGATAGCTAAAAGAGGTAGACAAAAAAGCTAAACATCTTTTTTCTTTCAAATAGCGACCAGACAACTACATTTTGATAGGTAAGGGCTATAGATATACATTTGCAGGGTGTTAATCCAACGAGTAAGAAAATCACTGTCTTCAGATATCTTCTTTTGCATATACTTTTGCAATTTTAAGCTACATTTTGAACTCATGTGTTGTTGCTAACTTAAGCATGTTTTGTGCTTAATCAGATGTGGATTTTGAAGAGCGAGTACGACAAGTCTGGTACATCAATTGTCCGTAGGAAGTGTTTCTAAGGTGCTGCTGCTATTTTTACATCTGTTCCTGAGTTCTTTTTTTTTTAAAAAAAAATCTTTCCACTAAAGCTATTATGTCGTCCACAGTGAATTTTCAGGTTTGTTGTTATAGGCAAGTCTTTGAGATGCGACTATCAAAGAAGGGCGATTACGATCAGTGTACCGCTGATATTATTTCATGTTTCCAGTGCAAGCTTCTTTTGTAAGTTGACAAACTTGATTAGTTAATATGTTTGGGACTCAACTACTACTCATTTTGTAAGACTTGTGTACAGAAAATCAAATTAGAATTATAACTCGTGATGGTTGAATAAACTCCAAGAAGTACCGATATATTTTTATAGTGGATATGTTGTTTGCTCATTCGGTGCTTGATATCCACATTGGAGTCCAACTAAATTCGAATTTGCACATTTGAAGGAGAGGCGCTCCTGACATGATTTTTTCCCATTCTACGACTCGTGCTCCTAAATTCTAATTAAGGATAGAAAAATCTCACCTATCTCACCCCAACTCATATTAGTTATATTCGGTATAAAATGTAAACTAAAAATTATCATATATTATTATAAGCATGAAGCTCTAAAGTGTAAAGTTGAATTACTACTTTGTCCCTATACTAAATTAAAAAGTAATAAAATACTTTACCCAAATATAAATTAAGTATCTAATTAAATAGTAATATTAAATTACATAATAGAGGAGCAAAATGAGAAATTCAGCATTCTATTCAATTACTATGTGTGAAACAACCAAATAGGATGAACACTAATAAAGTTTCAATTAATATAGAAGTTGAAACGTATTTTGCTAATTATGAGAAGTTGAAAGGGATCAAATTAAGTAATTGAGGAATGTAAAAGAGTTTTTATCAACAAATCTTCAAGACTACACTATATAAACATACTCAATATTAGTCATTCAACACAAGCTTCCATTGTTAAGTGGGTACAAAAATGTCTTCTAATTTTCAGGTACAATCTTATTAAGTCTAGATTTTTCCGTTTGATTTGCTAACTTCATTTGAATGATAACTTTCTAATTTTTTTAATAGGTAAAATAAATAGTTTGAAAGGTATAATCACACATATCAAAAATTGAATGTTGTTGTACACATATGGTTTGCTGAATGATGAACAACTCTCTTTGAAATTCTCTACGCATAGCTTCCCACAGAAAAGAAATCATGTTTAAACTTTTAAACTATTAATAATATATTGAAATTGCAGCTGTTTGCTAGCAAAATATATCACATTTTCTTCAACAAATGTAGCGACTCCAAGTCTTCTCTAACAGTGATGGATAGTAGTTGTAAGCCTGTAAATGTAAGTCTGGGTATATCTGAAAGTTTTTAAGGAAGTAGTTACATTTGTAACGACACACATTAAGGATACAAGATGACTTTAAGTAACGTCGCATTTTCCCTTTTTAATTCTTTAACTTGATGTGTCTTTCTTGGAAATTTTATTTGTTGATGACTGCCTGTATATTTAATTGCTTATAAATGGGTAAGCTTTGGAGACTTATCTAATGTGCAGTAGATCGAAAATATCGAGAGAACACTCGAAAAAAACATCATAATTCTCCTAATAGTTTATTATATACGTTTTCATTTATTTTTTTTATTTGGGATACACGTGCAACGCACGTGCCCGGAGACTAGTAACTATATAGGTGCAAATATTTTTGAAAAAACTCAAATAACAACCAAAATAAAGAAAGAATACTAAATCCTACACTAACTAGTTACAACAACTAAAAAATATTTATAGCTATTGAACTCCTATGCACAGTCTACTGTAAAACATAAGTAGAAGAACTTCAAATCTTGGCAATGAAATGACACCATTTTCTCACACTCAAACTGATGTTAAATTTCATGAATGAAACAATATATAATACTCCTATTTAGGTTGAAGACCCATTTTCTTCCTCGTTTTCCCAACGTATAAATCCTTAGACTTGATCATCCCGGGGACTAATCCAATGATCGTTGTGAACGTAAATTGAGCCACTGCATCTTGCCTTCCTAACGGAACGATGATCTTAGGAGAAGATCGAGGCTCGTATATTGCAAGTTTGCTTTCTTTTCCTCCACTCATCAAAAGTTTCAAGTTCTTTGCAGCCACTAGAGCATGTTTTTGAGCTGAATATCCTTGTTTAAGTTCCTGATAACGAAGAAAGCATTAGAATTCAATTGAAGAATAATAACAACAGTAACATACAGTATTGATGAGAAAATAGAGTTTACGCAGCCCTTACTCCTACCTTGTGAAGTCCTCTGGCTATCGCTATATTATCAAAAAGATTCAACATGTCTTTTAAATCGACTGTACGCTAACCCTCTTACAACAACTTATAGTGTGTACGCAGACCTTTCCCCTATCTTGTAACACATACAAGATTCCTCACTACAGAAATGATACATTTTCAAGAAATAAGAGATATGCAGTTTAGTGCTTACCTTAATATCAGTTATATCACCAACAGCAAATATGTTTCTGTGACCCTTGATTCTAAGATTTTCATCTACCTTCAATCTTCCAAAATTATCGATTCGATCCTTCAAATATGTCTCCCTTAACCACTCTGAACCCGGTGGCTTTCCTGTGCAAAGAAAATGGCAATCTGCTCTGATAGTTTCCCCAGACGAAGTGAAATATGTTCTGTTTCCACCTGAGTTGTCCGTGTTATTACTCAAATCGACAGATTGCATCAATTTCACTTCCACATTCTTGTTTTTTAACCATTCTAAGGTCTTGTCAGACGCTTTTGGTCCGATGAACTCTAGTAGTCTGGATCCGTCGTGCACCAAAGTTACTTTCTTTTGAGGAAAATCGACAGCGATTTCTGCAGCAAGTTCAACACCAGTAGGACCACCACCAACAATCAATATAGAATCAGCTTCTTTTATCTTTTCATTCTCTGCAACAACAAGATGAACGATGCAAAAATTAGTCGAACATCACTACATTTTGTCTAGTAATATCCTCACTAGTACATCTCAACATTCACGACTAGACAATTGACTGAATCCCATGAAAACTTGCTAGAGGAACCGCTGAACGTATACAAAAACACCCATGATTTACCTTTGTTTTATCATTTTCCAAACCAAAAACAGTCGAGCCACACGCCATTTTGACTAGTAATATCAAGTAGTAATCTATAACGTTAACAGGACGCTCACTAAAGAAAAGATTTAATCACTAGTACATCTCGTAGACAATTGGCTGAACCTCGTGAAATTAAACTTGCCAGAGGAACCGATTTACAAATGAAGAATCTTTGCTCAACGGATACAAAACACAAATGCTTTAGCTTCTTTTTATCATTTTCCCTAAAAGTTGATAAACTCAGCGAGCATAAACATTTCAAATGATCAGTACGTATAACTAATTTGCTCGTTGGAAAGCAGACAAGATGGTAAATAAAACGAATCAAACACGTGAATGATATCTTAACTAAGTCTTTGATGCTATGCAATATGTATATATACCTGTTTGATATTCTTCCAATCTGTCTGTTCTCGATACAGGCAGGGGATCGTAGTGACCGGTGGCTACCACAAGATAGTCATAGGTAACTTGATGTCCATCTGCAGTCAAGACTTCTTTGTTGGTAATATTAGTGACTTCAGACACTATGAGACGCCCATTGGCGAGGTAATCTTTGTGGTGAATCAATGATCTCTCCGCGAACAAAGGCTCTACCGTTGATCTTAAACTCGCCCATGGAATCTCGAAATAGTCCTTCCTGTTAACAGTTTTTTACTAATCAATACACATTGAACCAAACTGAACTACTTCATTTCTCATCTCAATTGATCACTCAACTAATAGTTTTTTTATCTCATTTGCTTCGAGATACCAAATTTCTTCAACAAAGAAAGTGACTTTCACTGTAACAAAAATAATCATTAGCGGCAATTAATTCTCAATTGCTTCCATAAAGCCTTTAGCGGCATTGATTCTAATGACACTTATGTCACTATTTAATGCCGCTAAAAGTTGTTTTTGTTGTAGTGTTTCTGAGATAGTAATTACTACGAAGGCCCTTTTTTTTCAATTTGTTCTATTTTGAAGGATCCGAACTTGATGGACAAAGTGAAATCAATTGAGGTGCGGATAAGCTGACTCAGACATCACGATTATTCAAAATAATAATAATAATTAGCAAAACTTATTGAACTTACGGATCAATAAGAGTTAAATCTGCATCAAATTGAAGAGACTTTGCAATAAGGGAACCAGCAACTCCGCCACCGATAACCACCACTCTCCTCCCTCTTCCGCCATCGCCCCACTCCGGTGGATTCTCCATTATCTTCACAATTATTTTCTTCACAAAATGAAGAAATTTTTTTTTAGATAAATTGAAAAAAAGAATTGACAAAATAAATAAAGAAGTTGAAAAAAAAAATTGGAAATTGTCAACTACGCGGGAGTAACAGCTGTTTAAATAAGTAATATTTTTAATGACCAAGTCATGATGAATGGTTGGTACCTCTATTATTATTATTATTATTGTTTCGTATCGTTAGTTTAAATATAAAATTTATGTATATCTATATGTATATATTGTTTTACAATTAATTTGATGTGATCATATCGATATGTTATTTTTTTTATTTTTTATTTTATATTTATTTATTATTTCTGTTGCTATAATTTATGTGGTACAATTCAAAATTTCAGAGTAAAAAATTGTGAATTTGGGTAGGAATTTTTTTTTTGAGATAAAAGATACTTATTTGAAAGTTATGTATAAATTGATAAATTCGAAACATATGAAAAAATTATGATCAAAGAAAAACTATTTTAAATCGCAATATTAAAAATATATCACATAAATTGAGACAATAATAATTATATGTTATTTTTTAATATATCTTTTTAAGGCAGATCTATATCGTACTTTATTTTTTTCATAAGCTGATTTTTTAAATTGTTAGTTTCTAAATTATTTAATGATACAAAATATATAATCAATTAAATAATATTTTTATAATACAAGACAATATAATATATTATGGCAAAATAATAGGTTGTACCATCCAAATTAGAAGTGTCATAGAAGATTCCAATTAAAGGAAAGAAAATTCAATATAGTATTATCGAAGAAAACTTCAAACTTTTCAGTACGCCGTCTATTTCATTTTATATGATATTATTATTTTTATTAATATATTTTAAAATTTTATTTAAAAATAAATTTTAACATGTTCATCTTTTCTTAATAAATTTCTAAATTTTATTATAACATTTTCTAAGTCAATGGAAGAAGAAAAAAATATCAATTTTCAATCATAATATATCACATAAATTAATACGAAAAAAATTATATAGTGTTCGACATTTTTGATACAGCTGAATAAAATATTAAGAGGCCACTTGTTATTACTCATTTTAGCCTCCTCCACCACTCGGAGAAGAGCTAGGTAAGACTGATAAATTCTATTTGAATTGTCTTGAACGAAAAATTATATTATTATTTACATATAGTTTAAAAGGCTATGTGTTTATATATATTATTATTATTTATATATAGTTTAAAAGTTGAACCCCTATCAACTTTTTTGTATGTCTGCTTCTTTATATTTAATTTTAATCCCATCGGTAATAAAAAAATATTGTAACTTCGTCATTGCCACCAACCACGTTAATTTCTTCGTCAGCTATCTCCGTCATTAGTCATACACCCTATCAACTATTTCTATTGTCATCATATTTACCAATCAATCACATATATCGTTAAGTATCATCATCAATTATCACTATTAATTACCTCCACCAACCACGATTTATCATTGACCAACATCTCAAACGTAATTACTAATCACCACCATTACCAATCATTTTTAATGTATGTTTCATAAAATTACTAACCATTTTTACCATAATTTTCTCTGGATATAATATTTAGTTATTACTTCACTTTCATTTTTCATAAATATCCTAATTATTGAACATTACACCATTACTTTATGGGCCAGGCTAAATTATTGAATATTCTTGTTCCCATCTTCTTGTTTCATATCCCATTTCATACTAGGCTATGTTATTTAAGTTGCGTTAAGTACGAAGGTTTCGAATTTGAGTCATGTTAAATATTAAGTAGCTTTTGTTAAAGAGTATTTTATTTCAAAATGTGAGACTTTTCAGTGCGAATTTGGATTTAATCGAATTCAATATGGAACTTTTCGATATGAATTCAGATTTAGTCGAACTCCATTATGGATATCGGATTGTCACAAAAAAAAAAAGGATTGACTTACTAGAGTGATACGTAAAAATCGTATTCGTCATTTTCATTCGAAAATTTCTTATTCGTGTCAGATATTTATATTAAATCAATATATATTATGCGTTTGTGGGTATATTTCTATCACTTTAATCATGGTTAACTAATTAAACAAAATTTAAATTATAACAAGTAGATCGAAAAGCTAAGCAAATGCCTATACAATAAGTTGATTCAATTTAATTTTTTTAAATACTCACATTAATTAGTTAATATTTTAGTATCGTATCTTGTTTGATTTGAAATAGATCAAGAATCATAATCATGTGGTATCTTGCATTAAACATTTTTTAAGTGTAATTAACTACATATATAGAGCATGTAATAAAGTACAATAAATATCTTTTTTTTTGCCATGTTGTATGTATAAGTTTAAATTTATATTTATTAAACTAATGTAGGAGACAAACTTATCTATGGCATGTATTGTTTTTGAAGATTAATACAATTTGGTTGATATTTTAATAAAAGATTTCTTTATTCTTAATTTGAAATCTCAGATTTCAATAGGAGAATAAAAAAGATTTTAATTTAAAAATAAGATCGTTTCTTATTATTTTTAAATAATATCTCAAGTTTAAGGACGTCTATGATGAAATTGAAGTTATAAAAGGTTGATTTTTTTTATTTAGTTCGTAGGAAGGTTTAATATGAATGTAATTACTTCATAAATCAATTAAATTATTCATATCCATTTTAAGTAATTCATTATTACATTAGTAAGTAATTACATCTCATGTTTTATGCAGTAACACTATTAGTGGTAATTTATTAATTAATTAATATATATTTTTAGAGGCAATTAATATTTTTTCAAATTTTTCATAAACCTTATAGCAACATTCCATTAAATAATAATTAACTAATATCAATAAAGGCTCTAACATCCTTTATTTATTATTATTATGTATATATATTGCCGTTATTACGTAAATAGAGAAGTAGAACTACAACTAATTCAAATGAGCTCAATAACTACTGCTTTAATTACATATTTATATTAATAAATTCGTCAAAATATTTATAATTAAAAGGAGCTATGGAAAATTTAGAACTTACCAATTTTGAATTTTGGCTCTACCTTTTAAATAAGTATTTATTCGTTTTTTTAATTCATATATTTAAATATTTCGAATTTAAATTATGAAAATTAAATGACATTTAATTAAAAAAATATTACCATTTTCATATATAATTTCAGATTAATTAAATTTGAAAGTGTATTTTAAAAATGAGCACATGGTTCTGCAAAACCACATGATTCTGATCAATTCACCTCGTTATACACAAATTCCATAAAAACAGAACTTTATACTTTTTTTGGTTAATAATAATAATAATAATAATAATAATAATTTGAGTAACTCAGTTTATTAGACAACTATGATTATACTCTATAAGTTTATAATGAAATGTTTCAATTTCAAAAGATACGTTACAAGTTACAATAATAACAAATTTAGTATATAATTTTATAAATTAAATTCGATTAAGATAAATTATATATAGATTAAGAAAGGAGTCATTTTAAAGCATAGGATGATGGTATGATGCATATTTTTTTCTACTTTTTGTCAAAAAAATATATAGCCTATATATTCAAAATGTTAGTTATTAAAAATATATATTTAAATTTAAACATCATTAACATAATTGACAAGAAAAATTAGGCATAGTTCTATCAATTCTTTTCGACTCTTCAAATAATTCAGATCATACTTCTACCTCTTGAAAAAATAAAAAGATTATTTTTTATTTATAAGATTACTTTAAAAATAATTATTAGAATATCAATTTATAATAATATACGATTCTAAAATTCTTTTTAGATCACTTATATAAATTCAGGTTAAGTTAGCAATAGTCATTTTTTATTTTATACGAGATATAATATAAAATAATAGTATATATAATAGTGATATATAAATCGTACTATTTAAAGATAATATTCTTTTAAAATTCAAATATGTTTTTTACTTTTTTATTTCATGTTTTATTAGTATTTTATGGCTCAAACGATCAATTTAAATTTAAAAAATTCAAAATAAAAGGCCTCATTTTAAAAATGATAAAATGCTTTTAAAATCTAAAACTCAAAACTCTTTTAAAACCAAGTAAATTAAGTCATTCATATATAGCAAAATCTTAAATTATTATCACTATCTAAGGGTAATTTTCATTATACATCATCACTCATTAGACAATTTTATAAGTTGCAAAAATAATCATCTTTTTTCCTTAATATTATTTTTAATTCAAATAGTTTAATTGTGTGTATATGTGTGTGAGAGAGAAAATTAGTTAGAAGTTGCACTGGTTTTTGGCAACTAAACCTACCACCCTAATCATGATTAAAATAATAAATTATATCTTTCAAAAACTTTAATTAAAATATTTTACTTTATTGCTATTGTTTTCTTTATCTCAATTTATACGATGTATTTTAATTAAATCTCAAGTTACGTTTAAACGGGAAGAATTTTTTAACAAGATAATATAATTTAAAATAATTTATATGTCTGTGTTTAATTGTTTTATAATTTTATTTATTATAATATTAAACAAAATCCTTACTTTTTTTTTTTCATATACCTCATATCTTATTTATTTTTTAAAGGTACAAAAATTACTCTTTAAGGTTATTAGTGTAAGATATTATGAAATAATGAGATTCCATACAAAATTAATATATACATAATATAGCACAATATTATGAAATGACAAGAATTGTAATAACCATAGTATAAAATAAAAAGTTCAAACTTAAATTATTTATAAATATTTCTTTCAAATATAAATTAAAAATAAAATAAAATATAGTGAATCACATATTATTGGAAATTTGGAATTTCTTGAGTATCAATTATTAATTAAAAAATAATTCATTGATGCTCTTCCACTCCACATATGCATTCATCAGAGCTGAGAACTGTGACAACTGTTTCTTCAGATCAACCCCTTTTCTTCAACAAAATAAAGAAGCAAAATACTATATATTACTAATAATAATTAGATTTTTTATAAAAAAAATAATAAAGAAAAGAGTAACAATACATCACTCACTCTAAGAAGATCCACCCCTTTTTCTTTTTTCACCTAAAAAAGTGTTCTACATTTGATTTCTCAAATACCCAAAAGCCTATTTTGAGTTCAATCTTACCATTCTTGAATAAAAATGCAATCTTTATGTGTTTTGTGTTTATGGGTATCTAAGTCTTGAATAAGAATGCAATCTTTATGTGTTTTGTGTTTGTAGGTATCTAAGTCTTGAATAAAAATGCAATCTTTATGAGTTTTGTGTTAAAGGGTATCAAAGTTTTGTTCTTGTCTATGGGATTGATCTGTAAAGATTGAAGTTTTAGTTGTTTTGACTGATGAAGAAAATGGTGTGACTGATTTTTGAGAGTTCTTGGCATATTATTTTTTGGATTTATTCAAGTGTTTAGTTTAGGATTTTAGTAATGGAGTCAAGAATGGAACATTATGAGATCATGGAACAGATTGGGCGTGGAGCATTTGGTGCTGCTATTTTAGTTAATCACAAGCAAGAAAGAAAGAAGTAATTAAAAAGTTTGGTTTTTCTTGAAAATGCTTATAAGATTTGAATTTGATGTATTATTGATTTTGTTTCTTTGTGGGGTATCTTGAATTTATAGGTATGTGCTCAAGAAGATTCGATTAGCTCGACAAACAGAACGTTGCAGGAGATCTGCTCATCAAGAGGTAGTACATTGTGTTGTTTCTCGATTTTAATTGGTTATTGTTTTAGCATTTTGTGTATTTGTTTCTTTATGGAGTTACTAATAGTCTGTTTAGCCAAGTATAATTGGAAGTCAAAAGTAATTATTTTATAGAGTTGAGCTGTTTGGCCGAGCTTTTAGGACGAAAGTAAGTGTTTTTGAGTAGTAGCAAGAGCTGTATTTCAAAAACTTGAGAAAGTAGTTTTGCTCCAGAAGCACTTCTTTGACCTTGGCCAAGCACAAATTGTTGCTCTAATATCAGCATAGTGTTTTACAAATTGATTAGCCAAATACAAACTGCTACTCTCCGATGGACTTTTTTGGAAAGCACCTCTGACAAAAGACACATTTCAAAATAAGTAGATTTGGAACCAAACAGGCCATTAAGTAATGATAAAGAAAATATTGGTGCTGGAAGAAGAGAAGATTTTCTTTAGCTTAAATCATTGAGTATGATGGCTTTTTCTCCTGAATAGTATATTTCAGGCAGAGTGTACTGGAAATTAAAGTTTGAATATGATGGCTTTTTGTCGTGAATAGTTTCTGTTCATCAACTATTGTGTTTGAAGTTCACTTCTATTTGGGACCAGGGATGCTGTTTTGAATCCCTTTATCTAGTTTCTTTTGGTTTCAGAGTTGAATTTTATCTTTTTGCCGATTCTAATTTTACCCGATTCTTGAATAGCTCTTGTTGTCGCTTGAGAGTGTTTCCATATCACTTGATAAAGATTATACATCTGTGATTCACTATATAAGTGAAACTTCAAGAAGTAAATGTAGCTAAATTCTTATGTTTTCTAGTTGTGCTCCATCTTGTCTCTATCTTATACATTTTTCATCTCAATGTGTTCTCATCTTGTCTCTTCTTGTTTATTTGGTGCATGAGACTCTCTTCTCTATGTAAAGTTACGTAAATTCATAGCTATTCAAAATTCTTGACATGTACTTTCTTGCAACTTGGATGCGCAGATGGCACTAATCGCTCGTCTTCAACATCCATATATTGTTGAGTTCAAGGAAGCATGGGTAGAGAAGGTGAGAACCCTGATTTTGTTTTCAAGTGCTGAGTTGACTATAATATCCTTGAAATTGGTGATTATTTTACTCTCATGTTAATCGTACTGTAGGGCTGCTATGTTTGCATTGTTACCGGCTATTGCGAAGGTGGTGATATGTAAGTGTCTATATAACTTTCATTTTCCACTAATTTAACTGCTAAACTCAAGTTTAACAATGCATATTTTGATAGGGCTGAACTGATGAAAAAAGCAAATGGGCAATATTTTCCAGAAGAGGTATGTTGACAATGTATTTTAGTTTATCGTTTTGCTGGGACATATTAATTGTACATCTAGATTGTAGATTACGACACGGGAAAACAAGTTTATAGCTAAGTTACAGGTTAATTTGTTCAATTGGTTGGGGTAATGTATTATTGCTCTAGTATAAACTTCAGTTAGTTGCCATTTTCGGGTGTCTAATCCTCAAGAGATGTTCATAATGCAGAAACTTCTGAAGTGGTTCACTCAAATTTTGTTGGCAGTGGAATATCTGCATTCAAACTTTGTACTGCACCGTGACCTTAAAGTGCGTATCTTGTTATCTGTTAATATCGTTTTTAAAATTTTTTTCTCTTAAATCAATTTTATGAGGTGATTTCTGCACCTTTCTGTGGCAGTGCTCAAACATCTTTCTGACCAAGGAACACAACGTTCGCCTTGGTAACTATTAACTACCAATGATTTTGTTCTTTTATTGAAGTGAAGATGGATACAGTCGATTTTTCTGATGTAGGCCTGCATTTTCTTTTTCCCGTTTACTCTTTTCTCCAGGGGATTTTGGCCTTGCGAAAACGTTGAAGGCTGATGACTTGGCTTCTTCAGTATGTATCTGATACCCGATGCTTTTCTTTGTTATTTTCACCTTAACTATGTAGCTCATATTAGTTTCTACATTCTTAAAATGAAATGTAGGATACAGCATGGCACGGGTAAATCAAGTTGGTGTTTAATTCATTTGTTTGATTATTTACATCGTAAAAGTTAGTCTAACAGAAGGCAGACCTAGAATCATGCTTGGGTTCATATGTCTTATATTGTTTATTACTGGCATAGATACATTTCAGAAATCATAGTTCAGTATCTTATTTCTACCTCTTTTGAATTACTCACCCTTGTCCATTTTATTGATGATGTGCTGTGTCCAACATGTATCATTTTGGATCAGATATGGGCAACAGTACGAACTTGCATGATAATTAAGCACGATCTGAACTATATTTAGCCTAAATAAAACCTGGTATTTAGTTTCTAAATATTTTCCTACTTAGCAAAGCCATAGAGAAAACAGGAACCAAGGATGCGAACACTCAGGAGTGGCTCGGGATGACCTAGCCTACATCCCCTCCCCCGTCCCCACCCGCTAGGCTAAAGAAAAAATAACAAGAAATAATGGAAGATATCACTTAATGGAAATAAATAAGCTAAAACTTCTAGTGGAAGAGATGTTTCAGTAAGCTAATAGTGTTATTTTATATTCCAGGTGGTTGGAACTCCCAATTACATGTGCCCGGAACTTCTTACGGATATCCCATACGGTTTTAAATCAGATATTTGGTCCTTAGGTATGTAACTCCTTTACTTCATTCTGGTTGAAGTGCATTTATATCTTACTTTGAATGTGGTACCAATTGGAGTTCTCTGTAGACATTCATTTCTAATAATTTTTGGAAGATACGAACCTCTCACCTCTGTATGCCATCTGTTACCACACCTTTCATTTCATAAGGTTACTTCTTTCCCAACGCTGAGGACACTGGTTTGTTGTAACAATAATCTCGTGTCTATTTGATATATACATGTCATTGTGGGCTTATTCTGTGTCTTAAATCCATTCATTCTTGACCAGGCTGCTGTATGTATGAAATGGCTGCTCACCGCCCTGCATTTAAAGCATTTGTAAGGCTTCTTAGTTTGTTTCTATTATCTCCATTTCAATTCCTCAGATACATAATGAAATGAGAAACTGACCTTATATTTTATCTCTATTGATTAATTTACGAATAGAAGTTTAAATGACTGGCTCTGCATATATAGAGACCTTGGGATGGGTTCGTTTGTACGTTAGTGAATTCAAGTGACAAGTAAATCCAAATTCCAACTTTATTGTTGAAGAGATGTACTTCCTTTTAAGCCTGTCCCGAAAAGAATGTCGTATTTCTATAATTAAAATGATTTTCACTTCAAAATTCCCCTTTACCCTTATCTAAGGTTTATTTTAGACAACAAATTTCAAAAAGTCTTGTTTTTCTTTCTTAAACTTTGTGCCAAGTCAAACAATGCAACATAAATAGGGAGAGAGGGAGTAGATGTCAAATCAAAGTACAAACTGTCTTACTTGTATAGAGAACTCAGTTTAGACTTCTAATAAGTTAAGCCCTTATCTCTAACTAAAACATCAAGATAAAATCAAACTGAAGTGATAACAATAAAAGAATAATTCATGATGATAAAGGTCAGAATATTAGAGGTTTTAGCTACTTAAAGCAGGAGTGCCCAAAAATTGAGAAGAGTGTCACTATTGTTGTGGCGAAGGAGGCCTTCTACACATTAATAACCGGTGAAACACCGAACTAGACAAAATTCAGTGAACTATTTAAGCTATCAGTGTGATGATCAATGATTTACTGTGGCATAATCTTGAAAATAGTTAATGCTGAATGATGCTGTGAGTCTTGGTTGTGGGGGCAAATAAGTGTAATTTCATTATATATATGCAACTTATTGTATGTTTGTTTCCTCAAAATGAGAACCTTTTGTTACTTATACTAAGTTTTACACTTCATAACACACTATAATGATCCAGGACATGGCAGGACTGATAAGCAAAATAAACAGATCATGCATTGGCCCATTGCCACCTTGTTATTCTCCGTCCTTGTAAGTCGGGCCTTTGTTTTGGGAGCATAATTTGTCTTTGTGCTAAAGCTTCTGCTCACAGGTGTTTAATTGATAATTTGTGTGAATATTTAGTCATGTTTTAGGATATAATTTTTCTTCTTTGCTTTCTTGTAACTGTTAATGTTCTGCAATGGCTCCATTATCCACCGAATTCTAAACCGTACTCCACTAACCTCAAGGATTTCTTGGTCATCAAAAAGATAGTTGTTATGGTCTATCTTCTCCTTCCTCGCGGCACATGACAATTTCTTTACACTTGGAAGCAAATGTTAACACTTCGAAATACTAGAATCTGAAATCACATGTACTCGTAATCCTTCTATAAGATGTTACATGTTCAAGTTATCAACTTTCGACAGACAACAAATCCGAGCCTCAATCTTGACATCGTGAATGCTCTATTCTTCTGTTGCATGCTTATTTGAGATGGTGCATTTGTTTGTCATTATATTTCATTTGGATATTGTTTTCACAGAAAAACTGTTATTAGAGGAATGCTGAGGAAGAGCCCCGAGCATCGACCTACTGTAAGCTTACCAATCTTGCAATTAAATTTTTGTGTCGGAATGTCATGTCCATTGTCTGACCTCAACATTTTCAGGCATCGGAACTCCTGAAGCACCCATATTTGCAGCCTTATGTGGATCAGTATCGACCATCCTTTAGTCCTCCTCCGTTAAGTTCTCCTGAAAAACCTCTCACTGCTGGTCATGACTCCGGAAAGAATATGACAGAAAGCCAAAGTAGTACCAGTTCATGCAGTGATAAAGATAGTTTAAAGTCGAGTGAGAACTTGCAGGAAATGACTTGCAATGATGACCATGAAGGCACTAACACGAATGTTGCCTTTGTTAATCACAAAGATTTTGAGCAACATTATTCTGGTGAGGAACATCACGGGGCCGACGCGGAGGACTATGACTCTAGGAACATTTTGCATGACGAGAAAAAATGTGATGCAGAAGCTAAGCAACCCACAACTATAAAAAATATTATGTTGGCTTTGAAAGAGGGAAAAACGAGGGAACATAGTTCTCCTATGAGAGGTGGCAAGACAAAGGTCAGTGGTACTGGTGCAAGCAAAGCTAACATTGAAGCATCACCGAAAGTCCTAAAACCAGGTTCACCTACTCCTACCTCGAAATCTAATGCACATACACCACCTACTTTGAACAATCAGGTATCAAGTCCCTAATTCTCTTATCTTGACTAGCGCTTGACTCTTAGGTTGATAATATCTATATTTTAATTACCTTTTCCTTGCAGTTGCCTACCACTGAGTCCACCCCAAAGAATAAACCAAGAAATGGGGGAATCTCTCCCTCTGGCACTATAAGACAAGTCGTTCATGATAGATCACCTACAAGGCCCAGACAGAGAACACCTCCTAAATTTACTAAGCAACCGTCGTTTACTGGAAGGCTTCAGCCAGTGTGTCATGATGCCTTGAATTCTGCGAACGATGATGTAGAGTGTGGTCCAAATGACAAGTCGCATGACCCCGAAAGGATTCCCAATTCTTTTCCTGATGGCTATCACATACATGCCACAAAGAAAATTCCCGAAAGGATTCCTAGTTCTTCTCCTGATAGTTGTCACATACATACCACAAAGAACAGCATGCTGCATTCTCGAAAGGTTTCATCAGGAGCTTCAAAAGGAATGCAAACAGAGAGCAGCAATTCTGCTTCTTCTTTAGTGTCGATCCAAGGATTTGAACTTTGTGATGATACAACAAATCATTTTGTCAACTTGACCGAACAAATGGTTGGAAGTCATGAACAATCTAGCGAAACTGAAACCATAGGGTCAAGACCTTCGTGTTCAGTTACTACATCATCACACTCAGATAATGCTTATAGTTCAATGGGAAACCATGAAGATAACCAGAAATCCGAAGCAGGCTTCGTTGAAATTTTTGAGGAGAATCATCAAAGTTTGGACGTTGGTACTTGCAATGAGAGATCAAATTTGTATGTAGCTAAAGATACTGCGTCTCCTCACTTGATAGAGATTGCCCTTTGTGATGGTGATTCCACATCAAGCAAGCCTGATTCTACCACTGATATTTTGCATCTGACTAACCTCAGTTTAGTATCCTGTGGTAAAATCAAGTCTAAGACAAAGTTGTCATCCTCCACAACAAGCGTCTCTCCCACTACTCCACTCGTTTCCTCAAGCCAAAACAATCTGCTCCACTCTAACCTTACCTCAAATGCCAATGGTGATGACAAGTTCTTGACCAAGGAACTCTTTCCATCGACAACTGAAAGGGCCTCCCCTTCCACCCCTCCTATTACAGCCAGCCAAAATATTTTTTTGGCTGACAAGGTAAGTGTTCCACAAAATGTGATTCTTGAAAAAGCGGCTTCTTCTCAGCTCAAACCAGCTTTTGATGATGTCATACATGTCATAAGGCACAGTAGTTTCCGAGTGGGTATTGAGCAACCAGTGATTGACAGTGTGGAGAGAAATGTTGATGTTGGAAAACGTATGAATGTGGTAAGGGATGAGCTTGATAGAAATCTAGCTTCTCCTATTGCTCCCAAATCGTCGTCTACTTCTGGATCAGTGAGTGTTAAATCCAATATATCCGATTGTGTCCATAATAAGGAAATGGATGTAAGAAACCAGGGCAGTCCCACCTCTTCACGTCCAAGATTAGATTCTTCGGAACCATCAAAGGCCAACGCAACACTTGTGGAGGACGAACGACCAGTAAAGGAAATATTAGATGTCAAATCTTTTAGGCAGAGAGCAGATGCACTTGAAGGGCTGTTGGAATTATCGGCTGACTTGCTGGAGAATAACAGGTTAGAAGAGCTCTCTGTTGTTCTTAAACCATTCGGTAAGGACAAGGTGTCGCCAAGAGAGACAGCTATCTGGTTGGCTAAGAGTCTGAAAGGAATGATGCTTGATGATTCTGCAAGAAATTCATGATCCATTATGCAGATGACATGTCCATTACTTTCAGTAGTGTTTCTCTACTCTTCAACTTCCAATCAACTTCTCCAAAGGAAACACTTAAATTGGTTCTTTGACTATCCTTTTTCCCTTTTAGTATTTTAGCAATTTTTTCTTTCTAGTAACTGTATATACAGAGCACACAGATTTGAACCATTTTTTGTTCCGCGAAATGTAACAATATCTCCTTACATCACCTTTTACTTACTGTTATCGCGATTTTGATATGTTGTACTCTGCTGTTTTTCCAATGCATAAACTTTTGAGCCAATTAGTTCTAATGTATTACATATATGTACTTGTACCCTACTCCAGCTACAATCGTTCATAATTGAGAACGATAAGTAGTTGACTATATGTGTTGATCAATAGTTTCACGATGCTCAACGAGTTGTTGATTCTGTTTGATTCTGTTTTAGAGATTGATTTCCTTTTTCTGCTCAGGATCTGATTGATAATGTTCTTGATTTGGTAAGTAAAGAACATATAATTGGCAACATTACACATTTTCCATGTCTTGAAGAAACTTTTGTTTCATGATGAATTGGTTAATGTGTTTCTAAGGCTATGTTGCTCGTATTCTTTTAAATAATTGTTGCATAAGGCTATGTTGCTCGTATTCTTTTAAATAACTGTTGCATGAGTGTCGGATCCTCCAAAAATGTCCTATTTTGAGACAGTTTTCAAGGAGATTGACAAGTTAAAGACGCAAACTTTTGCTACTTGGTCATCCTGTTGTACAATAAATTTTGTTTCAATCATGTAGTTGTTAATGATGTCTTAAAGTAATTTTCAACTTTATAGGTTTGATGTAATAAATGAGATCGAGCCGTGTAATCAGTCAATGATAATAAAGTTAGGGAAAGTTGTCTACATTGAACCTTCTCGAGATTTAAATTTGATATACTGTCGTTAAAATATAATCTATTTATAGAGTTATATACAAATTACCGATGGAAAGTGAAAAATCGATTCTAAATTTGTTTTTTAAAGTTCTTTATATTAAAATAAAGTTTATAATTGATCATTCTCACAAAGTTCATATATATACAAAAAATCAACAATAATAATATATTTTATAAAATTTCACCAAAAAATCTTAAAATTATCTCGTGAAAGCAGAGAAGTTGTTTCCGAACAAAACGAATATTTTGATAATTCTTTCTAACTTTTGGTTTATTTTCAGAAGAATTGGATAAAACAAAACAAAACAAAAACAGAGGTGAAACACTTGTGGAGAGAACATTGTCTCCATGTCTGAAAATCCATTGCAGCTTCTGTTCAAGACATACGAGAAAGTATCGAACTCTATACAAACCCAACTTGCTCAATTCATAGGTGTAGTCCCAAATGTTCATTCATCTCATAATAATAATGACAATGATCAACACTCCTTGTCTTTGCTCTCTTCTTCATCTTCTTCCAAGAATCAACTTGCTTCAGCTATGCTGCTTCAGCACTCTGAATTACCCAAGAAGGTATTTTTAAAGGGTCTTCAATATTTTTTTTTTTAATTTTGTAGTTTGGGATTGTGGTTTTAGTGTTATTGTGGAGGTATGCAGCTAATGCAGAACAAGTGTTTGATGAAAGTTCTCTTAGAGAATCTGAGTATCTTTTTGATTGTACTGTTCAGATATGTTTGATTGCTGAAATGGGGTTTGAGCTATTTTAACTGAATTGACAATGGTGCCTTGAAGTGGCGGAGTTAGTATTTTCACTAAGGTGGTTCTAAACATGAAGAAGTAAACACACAAAGAAGTCAAAAGCAGTTCAATTTCAAATATATGCATAAAAATAAGATTTTAACCATGTATAAACAATGTAACTTTGCAATGTAGGGGGTTCGGAGTTTGGACCCTCCCCTGCTTATGGGTCAGTGTTGTCTCTGGTAGTATATGCTAGATGAGGCTAAGTGTTCCCCAGATAGTACTAAGGAAAAAGAAAAAAAATGCTTCTTTTGTGTCAAAGGTAATAGTAAGTTCTGTGTACAGACTACCCTCCTATACCCGACTTGTGGGATTACAATAGGTACGTTGTTGTTGTTTTGAATCAAATGCATGAAGGGTTTTGAACTGTAACGATATGAAGAGCATAGCCAGTTTCAAGGCCGGATAAAAAAGCAGTGCCGTGGTATATAGACTGCAAACATAAAAATAGCTAACTGTGATTTATCCTCTGCACTTGATACTATTTGTTGTGACATGCTACTTGGATGCGTGTTACATTGTTGAAGTGGAACTGGCTTGAATATAGCAGAATGGATATAGAGAATTTATATAGTTGGTCTGAACTATGTTTGGGAATTGAGGCGTAGTTGTTGATATAATGCAGGAGGATTTTGCAGTTACCACCAACAAAGAAAAGACTACATAGTGATTAAATTGCTTTCTTTAAGGAGTCTTTGTATAAGATGGAAGTGAATATATTGTCGAATTGGCTTGCTTTGAGCTATTACTTCTCACTTGTAACAAATTCATTGGTGCTGCAGGGGGGAGCATTTATGTTAAGCAGCGGTTGATTTTTTTGTTGAGAGGTGTTGTTTTAGACCGGGAATATCTTGTTCAGCAATTGATCTTAGATTGTATAGATGGGAGTTGATGAATCAAATAATATTAGTCTTAGGTATTTGCTCTAGATCTCTTACCCATCTAGCTCTTTGGTATGCAATTGTTCTGGAAGATCGAAATGTTAGGTGCTCAGGATAACGTGACCGAGCATATCTTGGTTTTCAATTGTTAACCATTTGTTCTTCACGCCATGTGTTCCTTTTTTAATGTAGTAAGCTGTAATATTTGTGTCACCCCTTTTAATTAAAAACGGAAAATCTCAACATATAGTTAGTGAACGTAATTTTTAATCACCAATATTCTTTCTCAGGAGAAAAGTTCTGGCCCAGTGACTAAAGAAGAGCTTGGAAGAGCTACTTGGACTTTTCTTCATACACTTGGAGCTCAGGTCAAGTATCCATCTATTCTATAGCAGCAGTTCTCTTTCTACTCAGCTTTAAAAACCTTGAAATGAGAAATTTTAGCCCTAGTTGTTTAGGCATTTCAGTTGAACAGTATTTAGATATAAGACATGTTCATTAATTTTATTGATACCATAGTTTAGAGAGGTGAGACCACTTATTACCCCTCTAAGTGTTTGATCATGATCATTAATTCTTCAATTTTGACAATTAATTGTCTGGTTTTTATTTTATTCTACAGTGTTGTTATATACTTTAGTCTACCCGATGCTCGTGATGGTTTAATAAAAATGTCTTTTAAGCCCGGATACCATGGTTATAGAAAATGTCTTTTGGAAGTGTAATCATACAATAATGGTCCATAGGATAATCCGTATCCGCATAGTTCTCTTTTCTTTTTGTGCTCTAAATTAATACTTTTTTCTCATTAAATATTCTTACCTGTTGACCTTTATGATCATGAGCTGACTTGTTCCTTTTTCCAGTACCCGGACAAGCCAACCAGACAACAAAGGAAGGATGTGAAAGAACTGGTATGGTGCTCAGTCACCCTAAATGACTGTTTTTTCTTGATCTCAGAATTGAAAGATGATATTACATTAGATCAACGGAGCTACTTTAGAAAGTTGAGGGCTAAATCTGCTAATAGTGATTATCTAGGGGTAGAATAGTTTTCCCTTATCCCTAGTTCATGTGGAACAAAACTACATTCTTTTCTTGAGCTTTTCATAAGAAATAAGACAAAATTAAGGCGACTGTCAGTATAGGAAGTGTTACACATCGATGCTTCTATTTTATTGCAAGTTCTTCCATTATATACTTCATGACCTTGATGTCTGTATCACATTAGGATTCTGCTCATAGATTTGGAGAAAAAATTGAGGCTCTTTAAGAAACTAAAGGATTGCTTTTGTTGTTTCCTCGCAGATGGCAATATTATCTCGCATGTACCCTTGCAGCGAATGTGCAGATCACTTCAAAGAAGTTCTAAGGTACCTAGTTTATGAACTTGCTTGAGTGCAATAGCAATACGTACATTTTCTTATACAGAGTTGAGTTGCAAGCAAGAAAGGGCAGAAACCAATTAGTCTGCTGCCATTAAAATGCTCAAAAAGCTTAATGAGTTTCTTCCTGTATGTTGATGATCTTTGTTTCTCATGTTCTTTACAGAGCAAATCCTGTACAAGCTGGATCTCAAGCTGAATTTTCACAATGGTTATGTCACGTGCACAATGTTGTCAATAGAAGGTAGTACTAAATGGTTTTTATGTTTCCTCCTGTGCATCTTTCATGTCAAGGAGGACAAACAAACCTTTATTTTGAATGTTGTTAGTACGATCTTATTTGAAACTTCTCCTTTTTTAACCCGACCAATCATAACCTTTACTTCTCTCTGCTAATAAATGAACTTGTCAAATCCCTTTGATGTTCATTATAGAAAGATTTTGTGGAGTTGAGTATTCGTCCAGTGACAGAACTACTTTAGTTAATAGCTTCTGTTACATGGACCTTGCGTAACTCAACCCCGAACACTAGCTCACAGGTAGAAGGATTGCCCAAGCCATATAAAATCTTGTGGGATCTTGTCCTAGCCCGATTTACGACACGCACATCCCCCTTCCCCTCCCCCCAATTGCCAGACACTAACCGGACTGGAGCATTGACAATCATGAACTGGGGGTATATTCATGATCCCGCATGGTCCGGGGTACCCACATCAGAGTCAATGGCCTTACTATAATACCATGTTAAATGAATCTTGGGTCTAATTCTTCTGTCTCTTTTAAAAACCGATACATAATCTTATTACTGTATGTCTGAAGCAAACTCCAACAATTTTGTACAGTTTGAGCAAGCCTAAATTTCCATGTGACCGAGTTGATGCTCGGTGGGGCAAGCTTGACTGTGAGCAGCGCGCATGTGATTTGCAAGGGACTGACAAGTTTTGGTTTTGACACATATTGAAGCTCTTATATTAGGAACATGACATACAAGAAAAGATGATCCCATATTCTGTTGCATCATTGAAACCTCCAATCCAAGGGAACAAGATACATATTTTTGACTTTGAGAGCACTCAGTATTTCTACATTGGTGAAAACTTGATGTGGCAACCCTTTACAAGGTGAAGCCTCTGCTCCCAGAGAAATGTAAAATTTCATTTCTGCATTGCAAAATGGCATCTGTACCTATATTCTTGAGTGCTGGTTATAAATCTTTGAAAACCTGGGAGACACTCAAGTAGTGTTGATGTTTCAATTTTTCATTTCAGCACTAAGTTGCTTATCGATGTAATTATGGCA